ACCTAACATTAATATTTCTCTGGTTCCAAAGCACATCAAACGAAGAAGTGAAACAAAAAAATTATCGATTCCTTTTCTTCACCAATTCATATAATTAATTCTTAATAATTCACCAATTCATCTTCTTCTGAAAAAGGAAAAGGCATTAAGCCCTTAATAATTTTACTAGAAATTCCAAAAAGTCGGCCATACGTACACCTGCATGACCATTCGTTTGGGATATAAGAATCTACGGCTCTAGGTAAGAGAAAGTGTTTTTTCACCTGCATGACCAATCGTTTCTTCACTCTTTTATACCCTAATTTCTCCCACTTTCTTCTCTCAAAGAAACAGTTTTTTGTTTTTTCTTCTCTCAATTCTTTCCATCTGTTGTACCCTCTTGACTAGATCTTTCTTCACTATTTCTCTGTTTCAACGATGTCAATGTCTTCTGAAGATGAACCACATATTACGGAAGAGCCTACTCCTACAAAGAACAAGAGACAGGCTGTTGCGACCAAAGGATCTAAAGCAAAGAGAGCAAAATCTTCAGTAACTGTCAAATCTAAGTTTGTCAAAGGTGTTATTGCTCAGCATCTTCGCACTCGGACTCCGGGCAAAGTCGTTATCTTCGCCACCACAATAGAGGGCAGTGGTGAGTCAGATTCTGGAATTCCACCAACGGGAACCGGCAAAGCCACGAAGCGGAAACATGCAACGCCTGCAATATCACATCTCTCTGAGGACACAGAAGCTCCTATCCCTTCATTTCTCCTTCGCTGTGAAGCAAATCGAAAGTTGGTTCTGGATCGTGATAGGAAGTATTTAAGAAAAGCTCGGTGACTCCACACAACAAATTATTTGTTACTGCAGCGGCTGAGGAGCGCTACAAATTTATGGCAGCGAAGAACTTCAACAACATGCGGATCTTGTCTTTCGGTTCTTCGAACTCTTCGGATTCAGAAGAACTTATCATCAACGCTGGATTACTCTCTACTGTAACAGAGATGGAGCCCTACACTCCGGAAGTGGTAAGGGAATTATATGCCAACCTTGAAGACATGGAAATCAGAGATGATGGCTACCAATGTGTGTATGTCAGAGGTGCAATGTACGAGTTCTCCTTAACAATCATCAACCAAATGTTTCAACTACAGGAATATGAGTATGATCCAGAGTCTAAGGTACCAAGTATGGAGGACCCCATTGAACTTGTTGCTGCTGAATTGTCTCAAGGACACGTCAACAATTGGGACATTCTAACTCCTCCTCAGATGAGTCCTAAGATGGCCTTTCTCTACAAAATCTGTTGTTACAATTGAGCTATATTAGGATTATAATGTACAAACATGTGTGTGGAAACCTTTCTACCTTTGAGGCTTTATATTCTATTGCTCGACTGATAATTCATTCCACTGAATTAATAAACTTATATCTTTTCTTTTACGCAGTTTGTATCTTTTTGGTATGACTACCTGTACTTTTTGCTAGACTTTGATACATCTGTAAGTGGATATACATCTGACGGTATTTTAAAAATGAGGAGTCTTTTTGAACAGGGAATTCTGGCCGTGGGCTTCCATGTTAATGAAGGCAATAGAATATGGGAAGGCCATGTTACTGAAGGCAATAGAATATGGGAAGATTATAGAGAATTTGAGCAAAGGCATCTTAGCCACTATTAACAAGGCTGACATTGAGGTTGGATCCATTTTCTTAATTCTGTTTATCTACATTTTGTTCACTATAGTCTTGCAGGGTATTAGTGAGGTTTTGTGTTCTAGAATGATTCCTATATGAACTGATAATAGATGTGGTAGATCAAACTGTTGTTCTGTTTTTAGTGAGAATAACCACCTCGTAATAAATGAGCGCTAATGGTGGCTATGGGAATATCATTTGGTCTCTAGGTTCTATAATAGAACTAAATAAAATTTATTAGGTCCCTGTGCAGATTTTCTTTACTTACTATGATAATATGAAAAGAAAAACTCTCAAAACCTCTTAAAATATGTCAGTTGCTTATTCTTCCGTAAGTTATATCTGTTATTAGTTTTTTTGGGCATCGTGAATTTAGTTACTAAGGACCAGTTTTATTTTGAGAAATAAGCAGATACAAATGATTGGAATCATATTCCAGTGTTACATGTCTGTTCCGCTAGAAAACCTGAGCTCCACTATTATTGCTTATAAGGCTTGGGAGTTGGAACACGGCATTGACCTTGATAGGGGACCTGGTGGTTTCAGTAAGGTTTCTCCTCAGGTTGCAGATGCAAACAAGAAGGCCCTGCAGATGTATAGTGAACGTGCCTATCTTGAAGGACAAATTTCTAAGAAAGATTTCTGTGACCCAGAAAAGTTTCAGCAACTCATGTTGTGTATCCTTTCTCGTACTGTTGATATCTATCATAAATATTGTGTGGGAATCCTACCCGAGTTGAAGCTATGTATGAACATGCTGTCGTTGAATATCTGGTTTCAAGTGATTTCTGGATAGACTACACCTGCTATCTGGGTAGAACTTTGAAGGTTTTCCAGCTCTAATTGGGCTTAGTTCCATTGCCTTACTTTCAAGTTGCATGTCCTTGCAACAAGAGTAGAGTGAAGAGCCTCATGAATGATGCAACATGTCTGTTGAAACTAAAAAGGTTCGAGTTTATTTCATTTTCTTAATGAATTAGAAAGGCTTCTGTTGTGTTTGTTTCTTTTTTCTTAAAGAGTGATCAATCCGTATATATTGAATTAGTTTTTTGTAGATGCAGGGAATTCCTTGTTTCACATGCTCAGGTATTCCTACCAGATCCAGTTGGAACAAGGAAAGTGAAGCTACCTCTTCCTAGCAGAAGTGTTTGGCATGAAAAAGCTAAACGGCAATGGTTGAGAGAAAAGCCAAAAGTAGAGAAGGAAGAGGTTTTAAATACTTCAAAACTTAAAATGAGAAGTATAGGCCAGGCCATACTCGCTTCAAGCAGCTCGATAACTTCTTATGCAACATTTCGTACTTGTTAGGAAGAATATCTTACTTCTTTTAACTATTGATATTGGTAAATTTTTTAGGGTCGACGATCTATTTCCCCACCAGAAATTATGACTTCTGTCTATATGTCCAAATTATGACTTCTGTCTATATGTCCATGAAATGAAAGTTCCATACCAATATATCTACCTATTCAAACTTAAATTTCTATATACCCATCAATCTGGTTTTAGTGAAAACCCGAGACCAAATCGACATAACCGAATTGTGACACCCGATCCTTGATCTCGTGTCCTAATTTGTTCAACAAGCAACATACTTGCACAAACTAAAAGGGAAAAAGAGGGGTAAGTAATTCCGGGAAGAAATTACTCAGTGAGATTGCTATCCACAACAACTCTAATACTTGGAAACAATAGACAATCAAACACATTAAACCARACRTARAWCATGCATCACCYAACTTATTAYTAGCAACATARCATTCACAACTAGCATYYCTACACCATAATCTCTTTTACTTATATATTAACTCATACTTAAACATTCCACTTTTCACATTTTC